CGCCACTGCACTACTCACTCAAGCCAAAACAAAGACTGAGTATAAAAAGATTATGATTCAAATGCTCAAGTCTTTAGACTCAGATGAAGACCAGGAAGAAGAAGGAGAAAAAACTGCTTCATCCAATGTAATAGCTGACACCATACTTTAAATTGTCCTTTTATATCTCCGGCGTCAATTCAGTGGAAGTTTTGGTATCTGAGCCACATCGATGCGACGGTTTTACTTTTAAATTCAAAGTATTTTAAACTACTGTTTCTTCTTTGAGTTTTGATTTTAATTGTTTGTGGTACTATGCTGTTTCTTACTGAGTCCTTGAGAAATCAATCTATTAAAGTCAAGAGTTAGACATTGTTAGGACATATTTTCTCTCGTAAGTAGAACCACTACGGTAATTACAAAACAGTAGAAACCCTCTACATGTGGGAAAAGAAACCTGTTATTTCATAATGTTTCCTTTTTTAATAAATACCTCCTATTCCAGTTCCAGTTCTAATCAAACTCAAACGATCAACGAGGAAAACATACATTATGAAAATATAATTCAAGAAATAGATAATTGAGAAATACCCAGAGTCACTTAAAATCAAATTTACAAATATTCAACATTTCATGCTTTACATTTAAATTTTTTTGTGGTTATTTAATCAAAACCAAAGAAAAAGGAATACCCATTCAAAATCAGTATGAAAATATCCAACTCTTGGATCGAGAAACAATTAATAAACTTAAAACTCAAAACTATAATTATATCCATTTTGAATTAATTCAAGTAGGAGCAAAGCCTCTAAGAAAAGAAGGGTTAAACACCTTAATACTCATAGTGTTAAGAGATAAAAGACATCTTCACTTTAATAATTCTTTGTTAGGAACGGTAGAAACAAGCCTCTGTAGAGGTTTCTGTATCTGTTGATGATTCTAATAATATTTCATTGATTTTTTGTTCAATTTCTTCTCTTAATTGGAGTTGATTAATATTTTTTTTTAATTTTGCAATACTTAGATATGTGTCCTGTTTTTTCACACTTAAAGCATTTTA